CTGCTGTAGAAGCAGAAGTTTGTGTAGGACCATTTGTAGACACAAAAACCTATAACCAATGCGCTATGACTAGAAATATCAATAAGACATACCACTCGATTAATATCATGAGTTAATTGAGCAGGTGATCTTTCAAATTAGATTTTTAGATTTGAAATTTATTTACATGTTTTTTGGGTTGAGTTCGTTTCACAAGACTTATCTAATGTGATTTGCCTTTCTTGTATTATTTGTGGCTATATTACACTAGAGTGTGATTTACCTATGCAGTTTGTAGACATATACTTTATGTGATTTAGGGGTATATTCCACCGGAGTGGGTTTACCTATGTGGTTTGTGGGTTATATTACACGAAAGTGGTGTTTATTTGTGCACGTCCAGAAGATAATGACAACATATATTTTCGTATCAATAAATAAATTTAAAATCTTGCTTCCTCCATTTTATAATATATTTTAAAAGAAGAGAGTCAAGTAAAATGAAGTGAAGATATTTATTTTAAAATTTTAAATATAGAATTTAAATTTAATAATTATAAAAAAATATATTTCTTTTTTAAAAAGGGGTTGACTCGTCTAAGCCCGTAGCCCACATAGTAATGGGTTGAACTTGATGTTTTTCGGCCCATCATTTGGCTAGCCCATAAAATCCAAAGCCCGTATGAGTTAGACAGCTCTAGAAGGTTCCAATTTGGGCCAGCTCTAGACAAACTATTGAATTTGGGCCAAGTGAATTTTTGGCCCATGATTAGTTGAAACCTAATGTGCAAGTGCTAATGTCTCATGTATTTATCGGATTTCATTGGGGAAAATTACGTGTATAAGCAACATATACTAGTTAATTACTTAACATAGTTATAGTTTGCCTTAATTACAATTCGCGACCTGCTTTTAGCTATAATTACGCGGCTAAATTTTTAGTTTTGTATAATTCGCACGTTTGTATAATTCGGAATTTGTATAATATAATTTGTATAATTGTTTACACTTGTGATGTTTGTAATTGTATAAATTCTTTATTTCAAGTTGATACAAAAATAACTGAATTATACAAATCCGTGAATTATACAAACGATGTAGCTTAAACTGTAGCTACCGCCCATAAATATGCAAACTATAGGTATGGAGCATAATTAAGTTTATTATAGTGGCTATTTGAGAAAATTCCTCTTTTTCTTCTTTTATATTGCGTGATTGATTGTGTGACTTTTATTATGAGTTTCTCATGACAATTAATTTTGATCATCCTTATAGCTACTCCACAAGAAATTGAACAAGTTTTCCAGAAATTAAATAAGTATAATCTTTACTTAGCTTATATAAAGTTTATAACTCAGTATAATGAGTATAGTAATTGTAAAATATGTATATATAACTAAATATGTATAGTGAGACTATACATTTGGCTACATGGTCAAAAATATTTATAGCCAATAGTTAATATACATGCATATATTATAAACTAATTATACGTACATATGCCAAACTATTAAATTAATTTTCCATTTCTTTTAAGTTAGATTATTATAAACCTGAATACTAGCATACTAAAAGGACAATGAAGATCATCAATAATCAACATATTTGGGATGATTAAAATTCTTCCGCATAAAGGTCTCAGGTTTGAGTTCAGAAAAAAATAAATTATTAAACGCCAATTCCACGGAATTGGCCTTGTATCATGCAAATTTGAATTAGTCGGACTTCAATGCATGTATCTAATATTGAGTGAAACATCAAGAAAATAAGATCACCAATATAATAACATCATTTTTAGCACCACCATGAGTTGTAGTTAGATGATTGAGATTCCTCCACTCTTAATCATAAAAGTCTCATATTCAAGCCCCCGAAATGAAAAAAAAAATCTTAATAGTAATCCCCCCAAAATAAATGCGTGAATATCAGACACCGAGTAAAATATAGAAAATAAAACATCATCTTTGGCATTATGATGACTTACTCCAATGAATCTCAATTTCACCCTATGCAACTAAACTAGTTGGTCAACCATACCTAATACAATTTGCCTAAGCTTACCTCACTTTAGCCTCCACAACACACACACCAAAATAAACCTAGCTATTATTTCTAATTTTTGGACTTTATAAATTGAGTTGAAAAATCAACTCTGTAACAATATATTCATCCTACAAAGTAAAATCAAATTCTATAAGATACAATCGAAAATTAGAATATTTCGATAAAGTAATTAATCTTAAACTATTTTCCTCATCAGCACTTATAATCTTGTGATATTACGAGAGTACTCTTTCACACAATATATATGAGTTCAATTCACATCGTCCTCCTTTCCTTCTCACATACATGAAAAAGAAGTGTGTGACCAAATAAATTATGGAGTATTAAATAAAAGGAGGAATTAAGCATGATTTTGACTTCATGCATTATATGAGATATTGAGATTACTAATTGGTTTAGGAGGGTTACCAACCAAACCAATGAAAGAGCCATGACTTTAATTTAACATATATTGATTTAATAAAGTTATTTCAACACGTAAAACAAGATTTAGAAATAGTTAGCCAACTAATCAATTGCAACGTACACAAATAGTTTTTTTTGGAAGATAACCAATTAGTCAAATTAAGCCCATCATATATATATATGAAAATGATATTCAATATCTATATTTTACTATTTTTTTGGCATAATCATCTGTATTTAATTTATTGAACTGAATAATTTAGATTTATGTGGCATTTGGCTAAATAACAAACTTCATAATTAAGGACTGCCTAAATTGTTTGTTTATTTTAGGTTTTTCTTTATTGATAATTAATATATAATCCTAAAAGAGAGAGAATTTGGTCTTCCTTTCTATTGAGTTCCTAATTCTTAATTTATTGAGACTAATTAAGTCGTTTTTCTTCAATAGAAATGACGTTTAAGCAAAGCATAGAGCTCTTCCCTTCTCGAGTCCGGCTCGAAAACGTATCCATTTTGGACATCACATACTAAAATGGACCCTCACTAAAAATATAGATCAAAACGAACACTTGACCTACAAATTGACTAAATCTTATTTAAGATTAATAATATCATAAGAAGTCGATTATATATATATATATATATATATATATATATATATATATATATATATATATATAAATTAATTTATTGAGTTGCTCGTGATATTATCTTAACCAAATGAAAAAACTATTGAAAATGGAATTAAAGGGTAAATGTTTCGGTATATACTCTTCCTTTTTAGTTGTTATTATGAGTTTTCATTTTCTAGAGTTAATTTCACTAATTTTTCAAATTGCATTTTTTTATATCTATATGATGAAAAAATATATTTAAAATGTCAGTCAAAGTTCATATCGTTCAAATTTAAAAGAAATAAATCTTAGAATATTAGTCAAAGTCCATATAATTTGAATCTCAAAAAAAAAAAATACTATATCAATTAAAAGGAAACGGAGTGAGTATATTTTAACCAACATACACGGTACAAATACCATGATCACTAAATTAATGAAACCATTATTAAAGATGTGTTGCATTCATCATGGATATTGTAACCAAAAAAATGACAACTATTACTTTCTCTGTCTTAAATTAAAAGGAAAAAAGAATAAATATACCCCAAATTATCATAAATGATATGCATGGATGGTGGGTAAAGGTTGAAAAAAAACTTTGGCCTTAGCCCCCAATTTAGGGGGCTCCATTTTTTTAGTTTATTAGAAATGAATAAATTTTTAAAAAAATAGAACTAAGACTCCAAATTCAAACGACATTAATGAGATGATTTGATATGACTATTACTTTTTATCTTTTCAATAAAAAAAAAAGAAAGATAATGTGTACTTTTTTTTTTTAATTGTACAAGTTATCTTTCTTTTTTTTACCTTATTCTTTTTCTAATTTTATTTTTATATATTCTATCCTTCTCTCGTCCTCTCTTCTATTTCTTCTCTCTTTCTCTTTTCTAATCTTACATCTCTCTTAATTTATGTTTTAAATTTGGAGAAAAATATATCGCAGCACTCCAATTCATTTTCAAAAATCAAGTCTTTATAGTTCTTGAATCCGGTAATATCATTCTAATTTTAATATTATTTTTATTTTGTGTCTTATGTTTATTATTATTTTTTTATTTGATATTCTAAATAGTGTTTAAAATATTTGTTAGGTACTCAATCAAATAAAAAGGCTTGATTCTTTTTCAAATGCTTACATTGCTTATAGAATAATGTCAACAATTCATGTAGCAGTCGCCTCAGCTGAAAGAAGTTTTTCAAAATAAAAAATAATAAAATCTTATTTAAGATTAATAATGTCTCAAGAAAGATTAAGTGATTTAGCTATATTATCGATTGAAAAAGAATCATTAAAGAGATTGACTACACAAAAATTATTAACAACTTTTTCATCTCAAAAAACTAGAAAAATATATTTAAAATAAAAATATATATAATTGTTTAATTTTTTTAAGGCCTCTAGTTTGATTTTGGCCTTTGCCCACCAACGAATTTATGCCGCCCCTGATGGCATCATACTTTTGAGACATTTGTCCTTTTTCCCTAAATTAAATTGTGTCATGATTTTTAAAAATAATTAAATTAATTTTTATTTTATTTTATTCTTAGTAATAATTGATCTTGAACCCTATATATATATATATATATATATATATATACATATATTCCAATTAATAAAATTCCTAATGTATAGGTTACTAAATTAAGAATAATTAACTTAATTTGATTATTATATGTGTGGCCCTTAGAAGTGGCACAGTTCATGGAGAAGTGGGGGGACATGGTGGGGTGGAGGATTTTTCAAATTTAGTTCATTATAAAAATGGTGGATTACTGTGGAGTAAGCACACACTAAAACAAGAATCCCTTTTGAATCTAAATATACCCTGTAATATTTTACTATAATTGTGTTCTATTTTTTAGTATATAAATAAATACTGTATCCCCAGTTCCTATTTGCAATTAGTATTCTTTTGGTTCTTGCTAATATCTTGTTTCTTTCAAAAAGATTTGATTTTTATGAAGAAATTAGAATCCCACAGAGAGAATTCTAAGGTTGAAGATAGATAATCCCTTTCTTGTAAGTCTTTATCTTTTACTCTGCAGATTTTCTTGATTTTTCTTCTTTATTTTGATGTTTGCTTGGTTATAGCTTGGTATTTATGTGAAAGATCACTTTTTGGCAAATGGGGTTTGTTCAATTCCCCTCCTTTTTTACTCCTTAATTTGTTTTGGTATGGATTCAATGCTTATATGGTTTTGCCTAAAGTTTCTTCAATTTTGTTCTTTGCTAGGGTACTTTCTATATTCTTGCTTTTGTCTCCTTTTGGCAATGTTTATTCAGGGATTTTCTTGGGTGCCTTTTTTTGGTCCTTTGTTGATGTTGTAATCTGCTAAGCTTATGTTGTTGCTGATTAGAGTTCTCTCATTTTTCTAAGTTGAACTCTGATGAATGTAATGTTCCACATCTGGGAGTAAATGAAATCTTGAGCTCCTGAATAAGGTTTGAGCAATCATCCTACTTTTGAACTAGCTTTTGGGCTGTGAGTTAGGCTCGAGACCTAATTTGACAATATCTGAAGCTAATCAGCTGTTTTGCTTTGTTCTTGAATATTTGGTATTCTTGTATGACTTGCCTTTGCTTAGCTGTACTGCTCTTCGTATAGTATGTTAGCTTTTTGATCATTCTTTAGAAACATCTTTTTTTTTGTGTTCTAAGGGAACTTCTGTTATGTTCTAATTTCAGACAGTTCTGTTACAGAACATATTGTTCAAGGCATAAGTTTGTGTCTTCTTCATATCACCAAAAGGATGGGAGATCACTTTGTGTTTCTGGTTGATCGTTTGCTGACTGAATCAACTTTGGAGGCTGCAATTGAGAGCAGGAATCAGAATCTATTAGCATCATGGACAACTGATGACCCGACAGCTTATTGCTCCTCCCAAAGTGCTGATGCTGTTTTAACTCCAGGAAAAATGGTGGAATGTAGGATATGCCAAGATGAGGATATGGATTCAAATATGGAGGCTCCATGCTCTTGCTGTGGTAGCTTGAAGGTTTGTGGACCCTTGTTTATAAGTATTATCTTTCAGTTAAAGTATGCAAAGATGTTATCAATTGGTGTATTGGTCTTTTGTCATGCTTGTGCTTGTGAGGGATTGATGTAAAATAGCTGGTATTTTTTGCTCAAAAGCAAATTTCTGTTATGCAATGCACAGTCATAGTTAGTCTTTTTCTCTTCCTACTAATTAATAATTCTGTTTAAGATGGTGTGAGATTGAGAAAGGGAGCCTTTATGTAGCTAGTAAAGTTGCTTCCATGTGACCAAGAGGTCACGGGTTAGAGCCGTTGAGACGATGTCTTGAAAGAAATGCAGGGAAGGCTGCATACAATAGAACGTTGTGGTCCGGCCCTTCTCCGGATCCAGCACATAGCAGAAGCTTAGTACACCGGGCTGCCCTTTTTTAAGATTGTGTGAGATAGGTTTTACTTTCACAGGCATATTTAAATTCCGATGAGCCATCAAATATTGTGAGTACTAACACATTCTGCCTTAGAGTGGATGTGGCCATATATAGGATATGCTACTTCATATTTATGTTTGCTTGTCAAAGAATTTGTTTAGAATTGTGTTTGAATGTGCTGTTCTTATAACTGTTTAATGCCTTCCAAACAATTTCAATTTGTAACTCTCTAATATTGAAAGTTGGCTCGTCTGGATACTTCTTCATGTTCCTCCTTTTTTGGGCCCTTGAACCAGTTTATTATTGCAAATTACTGTCTGCCCACTTGAGAAAAAGGTTGAAGATCCTGAGTTCTACCTTTGTCCTCATTGTTTTGCTTTGAAGGTCCAGATCCTGTATGGATTTCTTTTGCGTGTTGAATATGCTTTGAAATTGTTCTGCTTTTACCTTATCCTTCTTTCCTCGCCCCAGCCCCAAGAGAGATGAGGTTTGCATTTGTTCCCTCGCTCCTTGTAGTAGACAAGGTGGAGCAAGTAGAAAAGAAGAAATTTGAGAAACTTGAACCTTCTAATTAGTGGGGTTAGTGGTTAAGTACTTGGCCAATCCAAGCAGGCATTTGAACTCTCAACTAGTATCATATGTCTAGATGTTTAATAGAAGTGAAAGTTGGCTGTGATGGCACGTGTGTGCTGATTCCCTTATCCTTTTGTCCCCACATAATTCTCTCGTGTCTTTCTATGTTTCTCCATGTTCCACATAGCATCAACAATATGTAACATCTATTAAAACTGATCAATGCCTTGCCAGAAATCTTTCGTGAATGGTAAAGTTGACACAAGTGAACTAAGTTGTATTTACTATTGGACTTACATGATTAGTTTTGCACAGTGCTCTGTTGCCATGCAATTCCACTGATCAGTTTCTCTCTTCATGAATGTCCCTATCTAATGTGATATTTGATATACTCAGAGCAAACTTTGAGAGGGGAAAGAAAAGGGGAGTTACATGTTCTAGCCTTATTCTAATTCTTGTTTTGTGTTCATATACTACTCATTAAGTAATTTCAGATTTAAACTTGATCGTCTCACTTGCACTGCTCCTCCCTCCCCCACCCCCTGAAGAAAAAATAAATTAGACCGAGATATTGATAGGGCGGTGCTATATTTCATTAAACTGTTCTCCTTCCATTTCTAATATTCTAATATTTTCTGTTTGAACATGTTTTCCAACTGCTTTTGGATTGTCTTTTTTCTTCCAGTATGCACATCGTAGATGCGTGCAAAGGTGGTGTAATGAGAAGGGTGATACCATTTGCGAAATCTGCCACCAGGTCAGATATGTTCGCTATTTTTTTTGTCTATCTTACAGGTTTAACATAGTTTGCAGCAAAGCAATCACTTTCGCTGCATCAAAATCATCATTAGTATTTCCTGTTTGATTATTTGGGTACATTCCAGTAGTTTAGCGCGTGCTTGATCAATTCAGTTACTGTTGATTGCTTATTTTCTTATTTTTGCATTTGTGTGAATAGCCTTTCAGGCCAGGTTACACAGCACCGCCCTCGATTTTTCGCCTTGGTGGCATTCCAATGAACTTAAGGTGTCTTTTCTTCTTTCACGCTTTTATACATGATAGAAATTTGAATATCCCTGTGTCACATTTCCATGTTGCTTTTCTCATTAGATCACTTGAGAACATATGTATATGGTGTTTCTATTAGGGGGAATTGGCGAATAGTCAGAAGGAACTTGAATAATCAACGTGTGATAGCAGTGGTTTCAACTGATCACAATCTCATTAACTCTGATGAAAATGAAGTTTATACACCAAGAAGCATGATGTATTGTCGTGTATTTGCCATGATAGTAATCTCTCTCTCTCTCTCTCTCTCCATATACACACACGTCTGTATACATGTACACTCACACACAGTAAAAAAACCTGCTTACGAGAACACGGGTTCAAGCCTTGGAAACAGCCTCTTGCCGAAATGCAAGGTAAGGTTGTGTACAATAGGCTAGGCACTTGTGGTCGGGCCCTTCCCCGGACCCTGTGCATAGCAGGAGTTTTAGTGCACCGGGTTGCCTTTTGCTTACGAGAACAGGAATGTAAATAAATTGATATGCAACACAAAAAGTGATCACTTGGGAGAACATGAAATTATACGAAGCACTAGTTCCCGTGCTTGGCTGGAACATATGTCATACTAGTAGCAGCATGTTTTTTTATATGCCATAAACAAGTAATAACATCACTCACCCATTTTGAATCTGGAAGGATTTCTTTGTACTTTGGGAACCATGTTTGATAATTTCTTAATTTATATGCTGCATTCTAACTTCTTTTTTTCATTTTGCTTTCTTAATAGTTTATGCTGCTTCTAGTTATACGTCACGCTCTTCCTCTCATAGTTGATCAAGCAGGGGACTACTCACTTCCATTGGTTATGGTAAGGTAGTTGAATAGGGAAAATGGTAACGTATTGCTATTACACATAATGTCATCTCACTTGTTACGCATTGCTTGCAGTTGCTACTTCTTAGAGTTATGGGCATTGTTCTGCCCGTCTACGTCATAATGAAAGCAGTGATTTCTTGCCACCACCGGCAACACCAACAGGTGTGTGAGAATCTTTTTTCCTATAAGTTTCGCCTTGACATAATTTGCCTCCTAAGTTAAAGACATTCTTTGTTCAACCTTCATGACAGGCTACTTTGCCCATCTCTTCGTCCCGTGAAGAAGCTAGCCTGGTGACTCTGCAACAAGAACCTCCCATAACTGCTATCCAATGAAATGAATTTCGTTGCTGAACAACAAAGAGAAGTTTTTCTCCGAGATATAGGATATGCATCTGACAGCAGTGTCTATCTGTTATTACTCTCTCTTCCAGCATATGTTGCGGGAGTTGGCACCCCACACTTAGACTCTTGTTTGTCCTCGAGAACTGCTCCAAAGTCGTGAAGGATTGACCAGTCGGCAAGAAGTTATATGCTGAAGAGATCTGTGAGGAGAATTCAAAATAGAAGCATAAAGGTAAAAAAGAAAGGACTCAAAAGAGATGAAAAATGTCCAATTTTACAACTAGAGATATCTGAAGTTGTGAATTAGTCAGAAAAATCTATGTAGAGTTATAATATGTATATGAACACTTTTGAAGGAATACAAAAACTAGCAAAAAAAAGTTGTTGCTTTTAGTACTGAAAATGTTCCAAGATCATATTTTCAAAATATGATCAAAGATATATTTCAAAAAATTTGATTCAAAATCTATGATCAAACGTTAGTTAAGTCATTGGACAACATTAGATTGATGTCACGTCCGGTAATTTACTTATTTTGAACCGGAGGGAGAGAGTAATTATCTTCACTTTGCATATACTCAAGTATATTCTTTGTCCAACCCAGTATTTGCAAATACAAATTTTAGGGCTTGTTTGGTAAGAGGGATAAGAGATAACTATTTCTGAGGTTAATTTTAAGATGAGTTTATCCCATGTTTGTTTATGACAATTACAATGTGCTTTTAACATCTCTACAGGTAAAATTAAGGATTTAATATCTCTTAATTGAAAAACAAGTTCTTTAAAAAATTGAGGAAAATGATTTCTCCATTAAAAGTAGGAAAACAAATTTCACAAAGTAATATTTCATATTGACCATGTCCTTCATACCCTCCAACACACTTCATTACACCCCACCCCTACCCCTCCCGTGCCTCGCATAATACTTATCTAGATTATATAAAAACGACTTTTAGGATAATATGTTTTGCTTATGTACAACACACACAAAAAACATAAAAACACTCACTTATTTTCCTAGAAATCATTTTGACCCGGAATGGCAAATCCACCAATGGATAGTGCTTCTAGGTCAAATCAAATATGCATGGGCAGAAAACAAGAATCTATGAAATTCCTTCTATCTCAACTCAGAACCTGCAACACTTAAATTCCAGATACACCATGACAGTCTCCACTTGTAAAATCAAAGCGGAAAATCACAAAATGCAACACAACAAGAAGGTTGTTAGACCGTAGCTTGCTCGAAGGAAGAAGCTAATCAAGACAGGGCAGAATCCAAGATCAGATGGAGAGAGTAGCAGGGGTTGAAAATGCAGGTTCTCAAAATAACATCTTTGTTCAGTTACACTTAAAAAGTAAATCTGTACACTCCATTTGGGAAAAATAGGAGATGAAAAAGAAGTATGATTAAAAATCTTTAGCAGTAGAGATCCACATATGAATCATCTCAGTTTGTTTCCTACTTCGCGCCTCGTTTGACCTGTATCTGAATTATACATACACCATGTGTAGATCTGTCCCTTTAACACACTCAGTTCCAGCTTCTTCTTGGCCTGAAATGTTCGCGGAAGAGAAAAAAAACAATAAGACAGCAAGAATGTCAACCTCCAATGATCTCAAACTCCACCTCTTGAAAAATCTTTCAACTTTTTAAACTTCCTTCTACATTTCAAATTTTGCTTTAAAATTATGTTGTTTTTGTTGTTATACCGACTTGAATGATGTCATAAGTAATAGTCATATATTCTTCAAAGAGTGTAGATGTTTATACTTCCGATTCTTTTGCTGAGAACGCCAAAAGCAAGCCAACGCTCCAAATGCACAGCTCGCAACTGCAATTGCCAATGCAGCTCCTAGTGGAACCACAACTGCATTTGTTGAAGCTACCAGCTCCTCATTAACTGTTTTTTCAGTCCCACCACCTGCTTGCAGCTCTTTGTCCTTGTAGAGATTCACTAGCTCTTTCCCGTAGTAACTAACCAGAAACTTAAAGACCTCATTCTCGTTCCAATCAATCTTACTATTTTCATCGCTCGTTTTGCGTGGGTTGAGATAACATGACGGACAAAGTTGCTTTGGAGGCCAAGTAACTTTGGGAAATTCAGGATCACCTCCTCCTAGTGATTCATCTTTCATTAGTCGCTCATTAACTTGGTTGTGGGCACTCCACAACCAGAGGGCAAAATCACGTGCTTTCTTGAAAGGACTAGATACACTGGAATTGCAAACATTTAAAACATAACAGTTACTCGACCAGCCTGGACGGTCAGATAAAAAAATGTAACATTCAGAAAGATAAGTTGAGACACAAAAAGAACCTCTTCGATGTTTTACCTTGAACACATGCCATGAAAGTGTTGCCTACATTCCTCACAGACGAAAAAGTTGTATATAAAATCACAGGTAGTTCTGAATGCCAAGTCACTTTCTCCATCCTCAACTCTGACAGAGAGTGAGTGTAACAACACCCACAAACCGCAACTGCAAAAGGTATAAGCATGTGGGTGAGAAACTGCCAAAATAAATTAATATCATAACATCAGTTGATTAACTTTTGACATCCAATACCCTTTGCTACTATATCTTTTTAGCAAAAGCATTTTTAGCACTGAACTAAATAGAACCACTTTTTTGGGTTGCTGATTTACATTCTGCTACTTATCAAAAGAAGATGCATAAAAGACAGTGGTAGAGGCCGGCAAGAAAGTAACAGACAATTTATTAACGATACTTCGACCGTGTCAATCAACTGTGTTGCTGCAGGAGCACTGATCAATCCGTCACTGCCAATTGAAGTTAATATTAACCCCATCCTCCCTCCCTGTCTGCGACCGAACCGACCTAATTGTCCGTCTCCTTCTCATCGTCTCTCTCAACGTTTAACAAAACCCCGGACCATACATTTGCAGACGCAAACTTCACGCTCTAGGTATTAAGGCTATCAATGAAGCAAAGTGCTTTGAATTCATAGTATGCAGGCATTTAAGAAGAAAATGAACCGCAGTTTCCAGCTACAAGTGCTTTGGAGATTTCAGATTTGGGTCCACCTATAGATTATGCATCCACCATTTTAAGGTTTAAAATTTACCAGACTTCTACACCACAAGATAAACAAACCCAATTCTTCAACTTCGTCTGTAATTTACTATTTTAGTTTTTTCCAAATCCTCTGCATCTCTAACAGTAGGCTATTCTCAACATGTGTGTCAGTCAGGGTTCCAAGGAATTCTACAGAGGACTTCCTAAGTAGAATGACAAAAATATCATTCTACATCCTTTTCAAAAAAACTTTTATAACATTGAACTGTTTGGGAATTTCAATTATTTGCCATTGTAAAAAGTTTCGAGTCTGAAAAATAATCAAGAAAAGAAAAGTTAAAAACAAATAACAATGTTTAATATGAAGAAACAATATGGATTACATTCTTTAGGATGTCACAGCATTTACAAAGGATGTCCACTGATTCTTCTCCTCAACCAAGTCATGTTCACTAGACGTACATCAAAGTTCGAACCAGTGACGTGTGCATAACCCATACATCACAAGTTACGCTCTTACTACTAGACCAAAGCCTTGGGGGCATGCTGGAGTTATAAGTAAATCCATGTCTTGGATTTAAATAATTGATCTTGTTTTGGTCCAACATCTCTTGTATTTGGAATCACGACCAATTTTATATGGACTAAATCCACTAAATTTTACAGCCTTTCTACCTCCAGAAGGTAGAGGTAAGGACTAAGGTTTGCGTACACTCTACCCTCCCCAAACCCCACCTGTAGGATTTCAGTGGGTATGTTGTTGTACTGCCATTACAGCCTTCCTCCTGCAAATAATACTACTTTTTTTTTGGATAAAGGTGATGACCCAGCCAACTTGTGCACACCTCAAATATTCCACCGGGTACCAACTATTTCCCACCACCACATACACTGGGTAACTCCGTCTACCAAAGGCACATGGGAAGAACTCACCTCGCATTTTTTTTTGTCTTTATTGAGATTTGAATCCTGGTCTCCCAGGATTTTCACCTCTTCATTGACTGTTAGGACACACCCTTGGATGCAAACCAACATCAGAAGCAAAAGATAAAATTCAACCATACATGTTGACATTTCAAATACCCTAGCCACTGCCCCACTTGGCCCTTTAGGCCGACTAAACATGCTTCATCTGACACTTACATCGAAAAAATAGCTTAAAGAAATTTACAGAATGCAAATCCTCAACTTTAACATCTCAGTAATGAATTATCTGGCTATGAGTTTATCTACTTTACTATATTCTTCTAAACAACTTTTCTACAATCATAAAATCGTAAAAGTTTCACATATGATAAAGAGTACATGAATGATCCATTACCTGAAACCTCTGGTATCATTCTTGCTGCCACGACAATACATCTGCATGAAATAGACTGTCATAAAACGAATCGGAAATGCTTTGCATGGCACAGCAAAGCAAAATGCAGAATTCCTTCAAGCTATTAATATGTAAAAAGATGGGAGTATCTTCGTGCACAAGACAATTCCACTTTTACAAATTCCACCAAAATAGTGAAAGCTAGGGATCTGATGTAAGTCAAAATTAGAGGTAGGGTGAGGGGAGGAGCTATAGAACCACTAAGATATGTACAAGCTCAATCAAACTGAAAATTATTTATACATGTGGAGCACATCTCATCTAACTAACCCCTCCCCTTTCCCTATCTACCACCCACATCCCAAAAGAAAAATACTAAGGAAATGAAAAAGGGACTCAAAACTAAAACACAAAAAAGGTTGGGCAAGCAAAAGGTTAGCATTCTTATGCAGCCAATAGATAGTTACTGAAAAAAATAATCTAAAATAAGTTTATTAGTCCAACCACGGAAGATAAATGAGCTAAATCAAACTCAAAGACACATATCGCAGATTATTCTTTTTTTGACAAGGTACATATCACAGATACTTTTTTTTTTTGAAAAACTTAACATTCACAGATACTTATTTTATTCAACATATAGCAGCAATTCCTCCCCTTCCCACAACCTGCACCCACGAGAAAGGACAAAAAGAAAAAGGACCGAAATATAAACACAGAAAAAGAGATGGTTGGACGAGCAAAAGGCTAGCTATCATATATTACCAAGAGAACATTATGAAAAGAATAAATACTATGATAGTGTAGTTTCCCAGCCACAAAAGTATTTCAGAAACATTTTTCAGGATTCATTAACCTGCTCGGCAGAAGGACAATAAAGTTAACAATTTATTGTCTCGTAACACCATGATTTCTAATGACCAGTAACTACTATGTCATAAAACCTGTGTTTTCAGAATTAGTCCTGTTAAGATTTATGCTGAAGTTTTTCCAGAGAACTACAACTAGATTTAAGAATAATTGGTATAAGTACACTCCAAACGGAAGCACTTATAGATATAACGAGGGATGCACACATTCCTGTTAAATGTTAGGATATAGT